ATTTGCATATTGCCGAGGAGGGGGTTGAAAAGAAACTTATATTAAGGACGCATTTCTCTATTACATGTGAATAATAGTTGCTCTCCCCTTATCTTTTTTTTTTCTTCCTTTCCTTCTTCTTTAATTTGACCTGCTTTTCCTTCTTGTGGAAATATGCTCTCCGTTATAATGGTACGGAACAGGAATATAAATAAACAAATAAATAAATATTTTTGGGGTGCTGTTTGAATTACTTCCTTTTTTTTTTCTTTTATATCTAAATAAAAGGGTGAAGCATTTTTCTTTTTGATTTGGTGCTGTATCATCAAATGCGACGTGCACTGGGGTGTTTGCCCGGTCACGTCTTCCGCCGACCGCTGATGGCGGCGAGCATGAAATGCGCGTTTCGGCCGTTCCGATCTCAGGCCGCGGTGGCCGTTGACGCCGAACAAGAGGAGATTGAGAAGGACAAGGCAGCCTTGCGAAAGTACTCGATGCTGGCGGCCCTTGCCGTCCTCTCCGCCGGCACTCTTTGGTACGGGTCGAGACAGGCAAAAAAGCGTTACTTTGGCTCAGTGGGCAGTGCGCGGGTAAACGTCGAGACGCGCGGTCGACCGGCACTGGGGGGACCTTTTGTTCTCGTGAAGACAGATGGAGAGCCTGTCACACAAGCAGAGTTTTTGGGTTCGTGGACGTTTTTTTACTTTGGCTTTACGCACTGCCCGGAGATTTGCCCGGTGGAGTTAAACCGCATGTCAAAAGTGGTGGATGCTGTGCGGGCGCGACGGCCCAAAGACCGTATTCTCCCGCTTTTTGTTTCGTGCGACCCGCGGCGGGATTCGCTGGAGGCCATTGCGGAGTATATTTCCGCCTTCCACCCGGACTTTGTTGGGCTCGTGGGGACGCCGAAACAAGTGAACGATGCCTGCAAGTCGTATCGCATTTACTACTCCTTGCCCAGTGCTGAGGCGGCGGAGACAAACGACTATCTGATTGACCACAGCATCGCCATTTTCCTTTTTGATCCAAAGGGGCGATTTGTGGACTTTTTTGGGAACCGTTACGATGAATCAGAGATCACGGAACGCGTACTGCATTACATGGAGCAGCTAGAGCGAGATCCGGAGTGGACAAACTGGTGACAACCACACATATGTCAACTGAGTGGATACAACAACAGGAAGAAAGACAAAAAACAACAACAGCAAACAAACAAAGTCTGCATGCCTGTTATTTTTTAATTTACATGTTGCCCGTGGTGTTTCGAAGGCTGTGAAATTTTTTTTGTTTTGTTTCCTATATTCACCCATTTTCTTTTTTTGTTGGGGTTTTGTTTTTTGTTTCTTTTTTTTTTTTTTTTTTTTTTTTTTTTTGCCACGGGATTATGTAAAGCCGCACCACGCATATTGTTTTGTTTTTGTTTTTGTCTTTGTTTTCCTCTTTATTCAGCGATTTTCTCCCTGCGGTGCGGTTTTTGCTCAATCACAATGGAGGAGACACTGCACTGCAAAGTAATTCTGCTTGGGGATGGCAAGGTGGGAAAAACGTGCTTGCAGTATAGTTTTGCGAATGGACTGGAGTACCTGGCAGGGTACCGGGAATATCAAAAGACAGCCATCGAGAACTACGAGTTGCTGCTTCCCATCAATGACAGCAATGAAGGGGTTGGCGGTTCGTGTATCGTGCGATTAGGACTTTGGGATACAGCTGGACAGGAGGAATTCGATGAGCTCCGTCGCATGTGCTACACCAGCACCGTGGCACCTGTTGCTCAAGCCGGAGACGGCAATGCAAGTGGTGCCGCCGGTAATCCAAAGCCCCCCTCATCTCCATCGGCCTGTGACGTCTCGGTATTTATTTTGTGCTTTGCGTGGGATGACCCACACAGCCTGACAAACGTGCAGATGCGTTGGTACCGCGAGATTCGTCGAGTGGAGCAGGATTTGGCATTTCTAAGAAATGGCAGCCATTACAGGCCTTTTAATGTGCTGCTTTGTGGCACCAAGTTTGACTTGAGGGTCGATGCGGACCAACGGGGCATCACGGAGGGAATGGTGACACGGGAGCAGGCATACACTGTGCAGAAGAGCATCAAGGCAGACGCGTTGGTAACATGCAGCTCCAAGACAGGCTTTGGTGTGCGAGACGTGTTCCACACAGCCATGTTGTTGTGGCTCCAGAGACAGCCACAGTACGCGAGAGAGTTGACACCTAATTTTCTGGAAGCTTTACCGATTGATGGTGATTGCGACAATGATAATGGCGTTGTCGACACGTCCAATAAGCAATCCATCGAAAGACAGAGCTGTCAACTTTTCTGATTTTGCTTGAAGAAAAAAAAGAAAAGAAAAAAAAAAAGAAAAAGGAGAAATTCCGTGTTTTTGCGTGCGTTTTTGACCGTCATTCCTGTTTTATTGGGTACATTGAGGGGTCGGTGTCTGGTGACGGGATGAGGCCGCTTTTTTGGTGCTTTAATTTAATTTAATTTTTTCTTATATATTTCCGCCTTTTCATTTCAAGGGGGAGGGGGGGGGCAGGCACTTGGATAGAAAAATGGCAACACTCTCAGTCGCCCGCAAGGATGATATCGCCGACCCACGCCAATTTGGCATCTCCACCGACGATACCGCCATTTATTTAGAGGATTCTGTCGACGAGCCCACCGCCCGATGCATCAGCTCGGCTCCGTCGGTGGTGGCCATCCTTTCCCCGCAGCGTCTGCCTGCAAACGGTGGCCACGCTGTTGACATCACGGAATACGACAGCAATAGCATTGGAAAAGGTTTTAGCGCCAAGGCTGATCGGGGGCCTCCTCTTTCTGACTTGACAAACAGTGGCACGACTCGCCTATCATTTTCGAAGTCACCTACGCCACGACGCTCCCTGTCATTGGTGCCGCACAGGTACGCCTCCTCTCGCACGTTGAGTTCCTCAGAGCAACGACAATCGCATCACCATCACGGCCACCATCATCATTCATATCACGGCGGCACCGTCTCTGTGGAGCGGTGTGTAGATGCAGCTCACCACGAGGAACGCATGGTTCCTCTTGCCGAGTATGAAAGGCTTCAGCGGGAACGCAACCGTTACGAAAAGATGTACGAACATCAAAAGGCTCTCTATGAAGACATGGCACAGAAACAAACCGAGACGTATCAGGAACTGCAGAAGAAAATTATTGATGTTGTTGCCCTCTCTACGCGAAACGAGGAAAATAAACGATTTATTCGACAGTTGAAACGTGATATGGCTGACAACCGAACACGTGTCATTGACATTCAGAACCGTGCCCTGGAGGAGACGAAGCAGGAAAAAACCGCCCGGGAGCAGTACCAAAGACAGTTACAGGAGTACGAGGAGAAATATGCCCTTCTTATTGAAAGGCAGGAGACAAAGTTGTCAAGTCTGGGGAGTTTACTGAAGGACGTTACGTGTATGAGAGGAGAATGCGACCGGATTCAGGTGTCGCAGCTCGACTCCCTTTTAAAGGCCGCATACTCGAAAAATACCGCCCTCTTTGGTGACTTGTTGCGTCAGGGACGCCAAATTGACCTGCTTTTTGAAAATAAAGCATCGCTAGAGAAGCAATTGGAACAGTTGCGCCGTGAGAAACGTGAAGTAGAGGCGAAATGGGCAGAGGAGCGGCGGCGGATGGCGGCGGAAACGGAGCGCTACAGCGTACAGCTGACGGAGCAGCAACGCTCCATCCTGGAACTACGACAGATGTTGATACGCACCCTTGGGTCCGAGACGCTTGCGCAAGGGGATGAGCGCGACGTTGACGACACCAACGAGAATGACAGCAGCAGTTATTCCTCAGGCTGTAGCTCACGGGATCTTGAAGAGAATGAAGAGGAGGAAGAGAGCGAGGGCGAGGACGACGATGACAGCGACAATTTGAAGGAAAACTTGGATGCGACAGTGGCCTTGCCACCGGCCTTGCCAGCTACGGATGCGAAGAAAGAGTCGCCACGGCCGCCTTTGCCACACGTCGAGCGGCCACTGGAGCGTCGGGCGACGGATTTGGCGACGCTCTCAGCGCAGATTCAGGCGAAGTTGAGGTCCCTCCCGGGAGGACAGGTTTGAGGGCGAAGTAACAGCGAGGAAGAAGAGGAACAGGAGGAACAGGAGGGTGAAAAAAGAAGACCAAGCAACCAATCAAAAAAAAAAAGAAAAAAAAGAAAAAAGAAAAACGAATATATTCACGAATGGTAATACGAAGAAGAAAAAAAGAACGGCAACAAAGCAACAAAAACAACAAGAACAACAACAAAAAGAGAGGTGGAGGCAGCAGCCGTGGTTGTGTTGGCAGGGAGGTGGTTTCACCTTTGCCTTCAACTCTGCTGCCTTGTCCTATATCGTTCCAATGGATCAATTAGATGCTTAGATAAATAGAGAGGAGACCTGCATTTATTTACAACGGGGGATTTGAATGAGTCCCCAGTTATTATTATTATTTGCTTCCCGTTTCTCTTTTTTTTTTTGACGTTTGTGTGTGTATTTGGTTGTAATTATTTTGTTTTTGTCGAAGGCGCGAGAGGATTCTGCGATGTGTTGTTGTTGTTGTTGTTGTTTTTTGCCATTATAATTTAGACGGAAAGGAATAAAAATAATAATAATAAAAAAAAAAACGCACATTTTATTACAGGCAGCCAGTTTTTTTTTTTTTATTATTTTTATTTGTTTGTATCATCATTCAATCCGTGTCTACATGCGTCTTTTTTGTGTGCCTGTTTTCTTTTTCTTTTGGGTCTCTTTTTTTTTTTTTTTTTTTTTGTGTGTGTGTGTGTGTGTGTGTGTGCGTGTGTGGCGTGACGCATCACCCGTCTGCACATCTTTGGCGGATATGCGTTCCCTCTTTTCGTATGTACATGGCACTACACCTTGAAGAGTGAGGAAAATAAACGGTAAATATATATAC